TTCCATAATCGTGAACCCCCCCCCTCCCCTTCGGAAATCCTAAAAGCCGTCCGTGGTATGGTATGGATATTTTCTGGAATCGCCCATTGCAGATTAGTCACTCTGGCATCATTCATGCCAGTGTGCTATTTACCATAGATCATTCAATCAAATTTGGATATTACCTAGATACAGCCGACTCCAGGTACCTCGAACCCTCTATAACTCAAACCTCCCGTTAACTCGAAGTAATTTTCATTTCCCTTCAGAACATTTTCCACATAATTTTGCCCTTGATAACTCGAACTCCCGATAACTCGAACTTTTTTCTATTTCCCTTGAAGGTTCGAATTATCGGGAGTCGACTGTATTTACATGTATAAGCTTACCTTTTTCTTCTTTTTCTGTCTCTTCTCGGTAATCTTGCCAAATTTCAAACAGTGTTGATGCCTGTGTAAGGAAACGCTTGACAGTTACTTTGCCACTTTGTGTGAATAACAATAATGTTTAATAAAACTGTGAAAGGTTTGAACCCAGGAGTCATCTCAAAAGTAGGTTGAGTTCCATCGTCCGGGTGAACGTAGTCCTGAATAGGACGTTATCAGCTGACGTGATACAACTCACTTTGACTCTGAAGATGAGTACCGCACAAAGTTGTCGAAACGTCAGTCACTGTCAACAACAACAGTCCTATCCAGCACTACGTTCACCCGGACGATCGAACTCAACCTACTTTTGAATTGTTTAATAAGCTACATTGTACAAGTAAAAGCTTTGTAGTTTTGTTTAACAAGTTGTACATTCATTGTAAGCAAGATTAGCTATTGACAAATAGTTAACCAACCTCCTTTTGCAAATCCAAAGTTTCGTCCACTAAATCTTCTCCCAAAGCTTCTTTTATCTCTAATCGTTCTGTTTCAGGGACAAATTCCTCAACTAGTCTCCATAAAGATGGTCTTATTTCGAATGCCTCAAGTCGCCATTCCATAGATGACGAATGCTCAGACATCGAACGGTTTTAACAGTGTCCAAGAAGTACTTCACGAAGAAAAATTACATGACCACAAACTGACAGAAATTTTCGAACGTTCTGCCTTCACAAAAAACGTACAGGGTTTAAATTTATGGCTTCATGAAGAACCAACTCGCACCTTGTGTTTGAAGTCAAGGACGCCATTTTGTTGCTCAGCACAAGGAAAGCTTAGTAACTTAGCCTTCCAAATAACAGGCCTGGCAGCAAGGCTTATCCTCAGATCTCGCGCGTTTGACAAGACCAACTGATTCAGGTATACGACTCGCGACTGCAATTATATAAATTTAATCTTTTTTGAACGATTCAGTTTGAATGATTTTGCACTTTTCTGAATTTACTGGATTATGGAAGGATGGGTGGGTGAAGCCTGTGTGTGAAACAAAAACCGATAAAACACGAGGTTGACGGACAAATGACATCGTCCTCCACCCTTGTGGATGTGGCTTCGATCCGGCCCCTTTTCAGGAGCTCATAAGCCTTTGTAGGGTTCATCCAGGCTCGAAATTCCAACCATCGTTCGGGAAAATGAGCCACACTCATCCCCAGCCCCCCACCCCAAAAGGGGAGGATCAATGACCGGGTGTGATGGGTGCTGTCCCTGTAATAGGTATTAAAGGCGGGCCCGGAAATCGAGCCTACCTCGCAGTCTAAAACTTAACCATCTCTCACTTTAAGAGAGCAAACCGGACCCCTAGGCTTGAGCGGACCTTCTACTTTTTTGTTCTTTCATTTCGATTTTATTCAACAAGGGACCAATCCTGGAAAATCATGGACAAAGTGACGTCTGAGCATAAAACTTGAAAAAATGGCGCGAACTGGGGGAGGAAACGCATCACAAAGGCGTCTCTTTATGAGGTACGGCATGAATACTTAAAAGTTTAATGGCTACTTATGTGCATTTTTTACTGTTTTATCGGATTCACCAAAAAATTGTCCTACAAATCCTTATAACTGCGTCGAGGCCAGGAGTATGTTGTCACTGTGTCTGGACTTCCTGTGATTAAATGTCTTTTACAAGTGATGAATTTCAACTCACAATAACCTACACAGAATATATACAAATTATCCCCTTAGTTCTTAAAAGTGCAAATTTCACATATGGTAATAATACTATTTTCATCGGAAATTGATGGAATAAAACTGATCCACGAAACATAGATTCTTGAACTATCTGCTCTTATCTATCGAACGAAAGTTTTCATAACCGCTTGAAAACATGATTTTTGTTTTCTCGCGTTAAGAATATTTCACTCATTCGCTGATTTCATCCTAGCCTCCCAAGCAGGCGTTTTCAGGGGAGCTCCGTATTTCGTCCCTCCCCACAAACGCCTGCTCAACCGAAAACAACATTCCTTTCTCATTGTTTTATTCGCCTGGTAAGTAAAGTGACCAATCAACAGTTTTGAAATTAAGTGTTGACAGGCTAAACACGATTGATAAGCTCGTGGTAGTGTTAAAACGTGACCGTACAGTTACCGTTTTCCTTCTTTTCAGTTCCTTGGCTAAGGTTATGCAGTGCACGGAGTATTCTAAAATCTGACTAAATCTTACTTTTGCTCCTCTGAGTCTGAAATTTATTAGAGGTCATAAATTAAAGGTTTTCCAGTGTTTCGTGCGGATCGAGTAATTATTCGATAACCCTGGGGTCAAGGTCAACTTTCCAGAATTTGGAAAGTACACAGTGATTGGCTAAGTTTGGGAAAGGAATGCTGTTTTAGGTTGAGCAGGCGTTTGAATTGTGGGGAGGGATGAAAGACAAGCTCCCCTAAAACACCTGCGTGGGAGGCTACTCTAACCAGTAAGATCTCGCATTACTTCAAAAAAATCCCCGGCCTCCCTCAGCACCGGCATATAATATCCCCCTAATTTAAATGGTTTTTATTGATGTATATGGTGCTTGTTTTGTCGATAGGGCTTATATTTCAGAAAATGTTGAAGTATCAGATAACATACAACCCTTAACGAAATGCGGGGATCTTTCAGACTGGTCGTTTTTGGTTAATCTCTGATTACTCAAGGAAATGAACACTAGGGGGGGTGACTGTTGCTTATGACTTCGTTTGTGGGGCATACAGTAGTTTGTACTTACCATAGAAAAATTGAGTTTTATATTCTCTATCAGTGCGCGATCTTGTAGTTTAATAAGGGAATACTGACTATTTTCTTTTCAAACTTTCTAACTACTTGGTGTTTTAAGTGTCAAAAAGTTCCAACACCTGAAACAATCCTAGCTTATAAGCGCAGGTGGCTTCCATTTGCAGTCAAAGTCATTGAACCGCATCTTCTTCAGTTTAAATATTGATCCATTTTAAGCATCTATAGAAAACGGGAAGAGAGATTTTTGGTCGAATTCCTTTCCTCTGAGGATTAATAGTTTCTCTCATGACCGAATCAAGCAATTGTGGCGCTGGAAAATGCCGCTGTTTTTTGAAAAAGGCCATGGCTGTTTTAACAGTGTTTTGCGCTGTCGGCGGAGTTATTTACGTTACGGGATTTGGAAAACAAATTCATGAAGCTGTAAACAAATTTATAAGACCTCATCAGGAAGATAAACTAGCAAGGAGAAGGTATGAAAGAAAAATTTCGTCTCACGTGCTCTCAACGCTTAGTTATTCACGGTACATACTTAATTTCGTGTTTAACAGATTTAATTGATTTGTTTTGGCTACCAATAATTGTAGTCGAGTGAGTTCACGGGTCTCTATGGTTAAAGGTAGCCAGTACTGATCGTAATACATTTTGTAACGCCAGAACTCTCCTCTTGTGTTTATCTGACTTATGCTTTATGAATTTTGTTTCGCAGATGTGTTATTCAGAATATGAAAGCAATTAAAGTGCTAGTTATAGCAGCTGAGTTCTTGTAAAAAGCATTTTTCCTTTGCACTTACATAACTTTGTCAGATCTGAGTTCGAATCTGAGAACTACAACTATGTTTTTAGTATTTCTCCAATTTCCTATGCTTACCCTGAGGCCATAGGTTTGGTGCATCTGTGTCATTTTAAACCAAGCGATCATAGTGTCTTTGTATTTAATTGTAAATTGACCCTTACTTCTCAGCGGCTCAGCAGGTTTCGAAAGATATTAATGACGGACGAAACAATATAGTCTCCATAAGAGCCGTATAAACGTCAAAACTGAAAGCAGCTTGCTTTAAAACGTTTACCTCTAAATAAACTAAAAAATGCTCTAAATAAAAGTTGTGATTTGCCGCTGATCACGCTCGGATATCTGAAAACGTATTTCAAGTGTTTCCTGGAATTTTACCCCACCCACATGAACAACTTTCTAATTGGTTTTGCTAATTTCCAAATGCCGGTATAGAAAAGCCTTAATTGGTGGCAAGTCCTCGTCGTAGGAAACTCAAGACTGAGTACCTGAACGTAATAACCAATAATTGAGATACGGAGGTCGATTTTCGTATGTAGTGCTTTCAGTTGTCCTAGTCTATCGACTAGGGGTCCAATTTTGAATTTTGACAGAACGTTTTCTATGCTGACCTGTTAAGCGCCATTTCAGTAACTTTTGTTTGTGTTTGTGTTTTTCTTATTTTTAGAGCGGTCTTAAATGCTCAGAATTGAGTGACAGACCTAAATCGTAAATGTAATTGTAAATGTAATTCTCCAGTAAATAACGATTTCGGTCCTACAGCCAAATTTTCAGTTGGAATACTATTTATCCACAACCATTACAATATCAGTTCACTCAAGTGGCATTTCGCGCAGGGATTTTCTCATATCCTTATGAAAACTGATCAGAGCTCAAGGACTTCAAGGGCGAGCTATTATTTCTGACGACTGCATGGGGCATAGATTCTAGCGGTCCAACTTTAAATCTTGACAGGACTTTTTATTGTCGTTACCTATCAAAATATTGAAACTGGATCTTTGCTAGCAAACATTCTGTATCAAACAACGTTGTAAAAATCAAAATCCTTATACTCGAGAGATGATCAGCCATAGAAGAACGACAGTTAAATTATATGCATGTTTTTTTTTACTTTGCAGTGAGCCAGCAGGAGCACCATCAGATCCTCTTAGGTTCAAAACCGCAGCTGTTGCGGCAGACTACAAGACGTGTTCAGAAGACGGCGCTAACATTTTAAAAGAGAAAGGCGGTAACGCGGTTGATGCCGCAATTGCCACTGCCTTGTGCGTTGGCGTGGTGAACACTCACTCAGCAGGCATCGGCGGTGGAGGATTCATGATCATTTATAACAAGACAACTGGTATGTTTCCAACGCAATTCATAAACGGCCTATACAAATCGTTGTCATATAAAAGACTAGTATACACGGTATAGCGTTTGACTGCAGAGCGAGAGGTCGAGGGTTCAATTCCCGTGGCCAGGGGCTCGTTTCTCGAAAGTCCCGATAATTATAGGGCCCGTAAAGCTGTTGTTGTTTACAAGCAAGATAGAAGTTTCAATAGTTTTGCATCTAACATGATAAAACTATCAGTTAATGAAACAACATGGAATTGTTTGCTAGCCAGGACCCGCGCTCTTATTCTTTATATTTCGATTTGAAAATTTGATTTCGGGCCCGAAAAGTTAACGGGACTTTCGAGAAACGGGTCCCAGACCACTACTCAGAGTCTTTAAATAACTGAGAAACAAAGGTATTCCTTTACACTAGGCGTCGAGACCTTTGTGTGTCTCCCGTCTCCAGCTAGAGACGTTAAAATGTCCCCAATTACTACGTACGTGCTAAACAAATTGAAACTCAAATAAAGGGCATGGCATTCTTTTAAAGTATATGTAGCTAACGCTATTCACGTGACCCGGTGACGTCATGATTGGAAATTTCCGCCATCTTGGATTTTTATACGCCACTTGCACATCTCCCATAATGTACCTTATTTGTTCCCCAAAATTTGACACAACCTTTGTGTTTCATTTCTCCTGGGAATTACAGCCGTCCCAAGAGAAATTGAAAACAATAGAGAGATTAAGATTTACGTTTACGGCATACGGCAAACGGCAAACGTCAGTTGAAAATTTCTCAGAATAGAAAATAAGCAGATAAAAACAGTCCAGAACGATTCTTGTGGACAAAACTGTCATAAAACTACTTATTTTTGTGTAGAAACAATAAACAGTAAACGAAAAACAAGGGGAAAACTTGGTCACGTGGTACAAATTCACGTTTGCCGTTTGGCGTAAACGTGAATCTTAATCTCTCTAATGCTTATGCAAACTTTTGGGGGGCAAATTGTATTGTGGGAAATATGCGAGTGGCGAATTCTGTCAAAAAAGCGACAAGGGGACAAGGTTATTCAAAGTTAATTTTTTTGAAAAAAATGTTTTTAAGTTATACAATCTATTTTGGCGACAACGACTTTCTAAAAGTCTTGGGCAACACAAGCTGTTTCTCATGAAAATGTCACTTACAAAAAGTTTACAAGCTGAAAACACTTAAATCGTGCATGGATATTTCCTTCTGATATTCATTTTTTATGAAAACATAAAAATCATAGGTGAGACCACGGCGATCAACTTCAGAGAAACCGTGGCTCAGCATGAAAAGGCGGATTCCATGAAGGAGTTCCAGCACCTCATGTTCCAGTGGAAATCAAGAGGTAATTAAAAATAATTAGCAAATACTGGATGAGGCTGCCGGGCTATGTTCTCACTAAAACTATACCGCATAGGGCTTCCGTTTACACATAAGTATAGTGATTGTAACGTGATTTCTATGACGGCGCAAAGCATGAAAATACTGAAATTTTAAAATTTTGTAACTTACCAGTAATTAACTCACCGTGATAACTCACGGCAAATAACTCACGACATTGGCGGACCCGTTCGGACCGCAGCGAGAGTGAACAAGTAGGAGTAAGGACTGGAATCCACTAAGAAGGAAGTAAATATTCAGTGTTCCTGAAAGGTCGGTTAGCGCTAATCTATGGTTAAAAGTTTGTTCTGTTTTGTATTTTGCCTCCCTATGTACTGCATAGAGTAACATTTTGTGTTATCATAACTGTATCTCGTAGAAGAGGCTCAACAGTATTTGTAAACTTGAATTGCATGTTCTTAGACAAGAAAACCTTGCTCAAAATTTGGCTTAATTCTGAGTTAAACTTAATCATCTTTTAAGGAAAAAGGCCCAGGAGCGAGGACTGGGATTAAGAGCACCAAGCCCTCTCGGCCAACTACTCCGGCACGATGTTCGATGTGTGTGAACGACTTGTTCCAGTTCTGTGCCGTTGCTGATTATACTAATACCGTGAGATAGCTAGCTTATCGTGTCAGCACGAACAGCTGTCCGGTAAAGTGTGAACGTATATATAGCCTGAGTATGATATAAGAGCGGAAACGCTCTAAGAGATCTGCATAATTCCTCATTGAATTCGAAAGCCGAATCCAATAATTGTTTTACTATTCGTTCAAAATATTTCCGACTTACCTTGATCTAGTATGTAAAATTCTCGTCTTCATAACATTCGCCTGCTCCTCGCTCAGCTTATAAAGAGATGGTTATTGAAGCAGGCTTTCTTTAAATAGCAGTTGTCATCTGCTGAGAGGTGTTTGCTTTTCGGCCATCTTAACAACAATGACCTCAAGCTACGCTCTCGGTCATTACTTGTAAGAGGGACTCAGAGCTAAGGCATCATCCTGTATAAAATTTTCAGAAACGAAGACCCGTGTCCCAGGGGAAGGAGAATTTATAGGCGTTCCTGGCGAGCTAAGAGGTTTTGAATTAGCCTGGAAAAAATATGGCAGCATGCCCTGGAAAGATCTGTTTGATCCTGCTATCAAGATTGCCTCTGAGGGTTTCAAAGCCACGCACACAATTATATCCGCTGTGGAAAAGAATGCGGCCAATGTATCAAATGATCCTGGCCTTAGGTGAGTGAGATATACATTAGTTTGACCATACATCACCCGTCCAGGAATCTAAGCCGCCAGAACTAGCCTGGTTGTAAAGAGACTTGCCATTATATATAAACCCGGACTAACCCAACTAGATCAGTCTTAAGCCAAATGGTGCGTACAGCAGTGATAGGTTTTAGATAATATTCACGAAAAGGCCATCTTACATTTCATTTTCAAAATGAGTAGTTTGAACGGCCAGTTTTTAACTTATGGAAAGCTTCCTCCACGTTATGTTAAATAATTCTTTGTCGAGCATCTCAGAAATGGATTGAACTGTGATAGCTATTGTCTTCTATTTACTCATTTGGTTTTCTGTTGTTAGACCTTTATTGATTGTTTTGTTAAACGAAATTTTCTCAAAAGTACCATTATATTAATTAAAAATGTACATGCATAAAAATTGAACTTTCTTGTGACTACAGATGAGAATTTTGCAATTGAAACACGCGAAAACTTCTAATTATGACGCATGCACAGTAAATTTCAAGAATATTGAACGATTCATGAAACTACTGTGTCAGTAAAGCATTGTGATATTCTCTAGCGGGACCAGGCAAGCTTAAACACCTAGAGCTATGGGTCAAACATGAAGTTTAACGCCTCTAAGTGTAAAGTGTTAACAGTCACACCGAAGACTGCATGAGGCCTCTATCGAAATTGCCCGTGCCACCGCTTATAATTTACACCTTAATTACTGTATTTTCCTTTTTTTCATTAGATTTCACCGTTTAACTATTACATTTTAGCTACCGCGTTAAGAGAATTTTTTTTGATGTGAAGTATATATGAAATAATTCATTTTTGAACTGCTTTTGTAGATGAAAGTGGAGAATGATAATCGCAGTAAATTTTCCAATTTAAGCAATAGGAAAGAAGAAGCCTGAAATAAAACCGGGGCTTCAACGGGAGTCGAACCAGTGACCTCCGCGTTTTTTTTAGATTTTGCTTAGCATGGGATGGCGCTCCGCATAGGTCACGTGTCCCGTTCGCGCTATTCCCCTTTGGTCTATTTCAAGCTCGTATTTGTCTTGTTTTTATTTATTTGTTATTATTAGTGTTTCTTTTTATTGTTTCTATTTATTAAGTCTTCTGGCATTGAATCGCCTTCTTTCTCCTTTTTAGCGAGTTATTTAGGCCAAATGGTAAATGGATAAAGATGGGCGACCTAATAAAACGAACAAAATATGCAAAAACTCTGGAGAAGATTGCCAAGCATGGCGCTGATCTTTTCTATACTGGAAAAATGGCAAAGCAGGTAAGAATTTATGATAATACCAGCTTTTTCCCCTCTTACAGTTTATAGGCACAAGAATACCTTTAACACCTTTGTGTTGGTCTACTTGTAATACGCGCGCAAGTTCGCGCAGCGTTCTAAGTTTTGTAAGTTACAATTTACACAGTCGCTTGCGGCTTAAACCCAGATAAGTAACCTTCTCCGAAGGAATCTGGTACCCAGGCCAGTTTTCGGCCTCGCCGACAAGAGATCTGGGTACGAGATAAACTCCAAAGGGAAGTTACAAGCTACTATCACTCTTTTTACCTAGTAAGAGCCTTGATCGCCTTCGTAGCAGACGTTTGGGTTTTGTCGCGCGTTCCTTCTCCACGAACGTTCGTGAGAAAGGAACGCGCGACGAAACCCTAAGACCGTCTGCGTGGGAGGCTAGACAAGCATTCGAAAGGGAATGGGAAGCGGGGACTGAATTTCGGGCACGCTAGGGGGAGGAAAGGAAACCCTTCTCCCCAGCGGGCGCGCGAACCGAATTTCCTTCTCTTCCCTTCTGAACGCCTGGCTGACGCAGGATAGTGCTTCGATCGCGTACAACTAGAAGATGTTTCAGGTAGGTTTATACAATCTTACCGCATGTTGTTACCTTTTAACCCTCGGTATGACGACCACGAAAAAAGGACTTGACTCGCAATTCAAGCCATCATTCACCAGCAAAATTCTTTTTACGCGACTAGAAAGCATTGCCTACAATTCCACAGAGCAAGAAAGTCGTTACAGAATTGTCTTGTTGATAGGGACGCCCCTGATTTTCTGTATCTTACAAACACTTCGTGTCAAGTCGTGTGGCTGCAGGGCTTGCCTGCTGCATACAGTACTCCTGTTTGCCGCGAAAATACTCTCAAAGGAAAGAACGCACGAATATATTCTTTATTAAGACCTAACGAATTTATGGATTATGCAGGTGGTCAAGGACCTTAAATCCGTTGGTTCGACGATATCCTTAGACGACATGAAAAATTACGCAGCGAGAGAAGTCAAGGCAGTGGAGTCTGACCTGCCAGGGGTGAAAGGATTCAAAGTTTATACCGTCCCACCCCCGGCAGGTGGAGTGGCATTACTAAACATTTTGAACATTCTTAAAGGTATGTTTTCATCTTTTCCAATGCGCTGGTGGATTTTCAGTTTCAGCTTCTATTATTGTTGCAATATTCACATTCATAAAATAACAAAGATAGTACGCGCGTTCTGATTGGCTTAAAACCTTTGGCTTATTGTGCCGGTAAACTAATAGTTTTACTTAAAGTTTTTTTATAAAAGCAATAGACCACACTTCCTATGGGTTTACACACGAAAAGCTTGTCGCCTTCGTCTCGTGATTTTCATGCTTTTCTCGTGTTCTCCCAACATCGAATATCCCCGTAGGTTATCACGCCGGTAAACTCGTAGAAAGTGTGGTCTATTGCTTAAAATTAAAAATTTAATAGCCTAAGTAATATATATTGCAATATGTACAACAAAGAAAAAACAAGGGACTACAAATTAAAGTAAAATGAATAAAATGTACGCAGGGAGCAAAGTACCTTTGCCTCAGCCTGAGCTGGCCATTGCCACGAAAAGTGCAAAATGTTTTCATTTTATCTGCTTGGCATTTGGAGTGCCTTGAATTAGTACAAAATTAGGATTTAAGGTTTTCAGATTGAAGAAAAACTTTAAACGGTAAACAGGGATCAGGATTTAGTACTGTAAAATGAGATTTTTACTCCCGCCTATCGTCAGAATGTTCCATTTTGGGGAGGAAAAGCCTTAAGTCTAATCTATTTGTGGTACGTTTAGGATATGCTTTAGTGCTCCCCAGTTTGAATTGAGTACAAGATTAAGCGATTCCTTTTACAAATCACAGATAATTGCAGCAATTAAAAACAATTACAACCCAGCTATCTTCTGTTCTTTTTACCGTATTATTTAGCTGGCCTTGGCAAGCTGTTAGCAATTCCTTTGACAAAGGCGGGTGATAGAATTGTCTTATGTTACCCTAGACTGCTTGCAGTCTGGCTTTGCTCTTCAAGTAAAAATCGGTCTAGTTCTTATCGCAGCCAGCGCGACAGCAAATAACGACGTCTCGATAAGAAAAATTTTTGGATTGAGCGGTAGAAATGACTGTACGCTGAATCGTCTGTTATTTGCGTTCATTAACAGGGTTCAAATTTGGTCCAGAGGACATTAAAGAACGGCCTGAACTAACGTACCACCGCATGATTGAAGCATTCAATTTTGCAGCTGCAAAGGAAACTTACCTCACTGATCCACTATTCAGCGACAAGACGGATCAGGTAAAAGATCAACTGATCATTTGAAATCAAACAGTTCTAATTCTCTATTTTCACATATACCATAATGCACGTTGTTTACCCCCCAACATTTTGCATAACCATTGTCTTCGATTTCCCTTGTGACGACTGTAATACCCAAGAGGAACTGATTGGAAACAATGGTTTTGCAAAATTTTGGGGGCAAAACAAGATCGTTGTAGAGCGTTTTCACTCACGTGGCCAGCATCTATGCAAATGTATTGGAACAAAAGAAAGCGTTTGCATAAGAAAAGTTCAAATCCCACAGAATTGTCTTGGTACACCAACATGGCCGCCGTTTTATTGTTGTGGGACACCAATATGGCCGCCGTGACGTCATGTGAAAACACTCTATAGTCTATGTGAATAAGAGGGCCTTAAACAATAAAGTTAAAACTAGGTTTTGCCCCTTTTAAACAAGAAAATGGGATTGTGAGTAACTGGATCAGTTTTGTTAATGATATATGAAATAAATCATATATGAACTGCGGAAATGAAATGAAAATGAAGAAATGATCGTCGTAGTGAACGCAATTTATGCAATTGCGTAAAGATGCCTGAAAAAGAAAACTTCCGGACTTAAAGGGGTTTGAACCCGTGACCTCGCGATTACCGGTGCGATGCTCTACCAACTGAGCTATGAGGCCACTGACGTTGGGAGTAGGTCAATTGTGGGTTTATATGTTCCCGTGAAAGAAATGAGTGTTAATGACTGCGGAAATGAAATGAAAATGAAGAAATGATCGTCGCAGTGAACGCAAGTTATGCAATTGCGTAAAGAAGCCTGAAAAAAAGTCGGTTTTGATGCCAATCATCCAGGTCACCAAATGTAATTTTGGTTTTGGAATCCACAATTCAGCTCAAAGAATCCTCCAGTATCTCGCGAACGATTGAAACTTGGAATCCACGGCGTAGAATCCAGAATCCAAGCCTGTCTTGAATTACCATATATAGGGCGAACCGTGATACATTGGAACTGGACACAAAAAAGCTGAGAAAACAGGATTTGGACCTCGCAATTTCCTGCTATCAAGCCTTTGAGTTCCATGTATAACGCAAGATGTGATGAAGGGAGAGACTTCAGATTCTGGCTCACAGAATGACGCAAGACCATCATGTTTAGCATATCGACCAATAAGAATCCTCGGTAGACTATCTACAATTCTGCGTACATTCTTGGTGCGTGGAAGGCAGTAAAAAAAATGCTCTTTTTGGGTGTTAATGTATTTAGCACTACAGTACTAGTTAAGGACACCATTCTTACGTCCCCAACTGGAGACGGGACCGCTATTTTATGTGGTTAACCGAGCCACGCGAAGGTCCAGCCGCTTGCATTGCGAAGACAGTAGTACCTTCATTTCTCAGTTATTTTAAGACCCTGAGAATTGGTCCGACCCCAGCAATCGAACCCGTGACCTCCCGCTCTGTAGTCAAGCGCTCTACCGACCGAGCTAATCCTGCCGCTTAGTTATTTCTGTAAGAGAGTGCAGTCTTTAGTCATTTTGGGGGTTGGGGGAAATTCATTTCCACCAGAATGATTTTTTTTGTTGCTGAAACAAAGAAGTAATTGGGAAACTAATCTAACTAAATTGTTAAATACTCTGTAATTATGCTTATGATTGTGAAAATGATTGTGATTGTGATTGTGATTGTAATTGTGATCGTGATCGCGAGATTGCGATCGTGATCATGATCGTAATCGTGATCGTGATTGTGATCGTGAATGTGATCGTGATCTTGGAAGTCATCGTAATCGTGACTGTAATTGTGATCGTGATAGTGATTGCGATTGTGATTGTGATTGTGATTCCGATTATGATTATTTCTGTTCAAATTCAGGTCGTTGCGGAGATGGTTAATCCTGAAAAGGGAGAGAAGATTCGCCAACTTATTGACGATAAATCTCACTCAGATGACTACGACTACTACGGGCCGATAAACTATCACATTGACGTCACAGATGGCACTACTCATTTGTCCGTCCTGGATAAAGAAGGGAACGCTGTTTCCTTGACAACATCAATAAACAAATAGTAATTACAAATTAATAAACTAGTAATAAGCAAATGTTACGGAGAGAGGGCGACAACGAAAGAAGGTCAGAACGCTTTTGCCCCAGCGCGCGCTGCTGTGCTTTGCGCAAGTTTCACGTGATCATCGGATGGTCAAAACACGCGTGATCAAATAGCGTTCTGTGCATTTCATTCATTCTTAATGGGAGTCAAACGAATGCTGACTACATACATGCGACGCATGCGTAATAACAACCTTGAGATTAGGATTGCGGGCTCCCCTGGTCGCCCGCAATAATGATAAGAAGAAGAAAAAGAAGAATAACGGTTTAGTTCCATTCTATTCCTTTCAACATCAGATTTAAACCCAAAAAATGCATGTTTTAAACCAAACTTGTTGGTATTCTTACAGGCGGCCAAGGCTCTGTGGGAGTTCGGGGCAGCTGTCAGAGCCTGGGCTACCGGTAGTATTCTAGGGCCCATCAAGTCCTTGTAACGGAAATTTGACAACATCGTTGCACCAGTTATCTAAAACACTCCCCATGTTTTTTATATGTGGCGGCAACTACTTTCTATGCTGACATTCTTTTTGTTTCTCACTTTTTCTTGCAGTTTCGGTGCTAAAATAAGAAGTAAGACACTAGGGATTGTTTACAATGATCAACTCTGGGATGCGGTTAATTTGTGGGTAAATGAATTTCATCTGGAACCTGATACTATGAAGCCTCGAAAGAGACCCATGTCTCTTGCTTCGCCATCCATCATCGTAGATGAAAAAGGGAATGTAAGAATGGTGATTGGTGCGGCCGGAGGAAAATACATCGCCACTGCTTTGGCGCAGGTACATAAACACATCTATCAATGTCTAAAAACACCTTTCTCCCATGTCACATGAGCAAGAACTTAAAATTAAAATTGCCAGAAATCAGTAGGAAGTCTTCTTACATGTCACGAAATTTGTGGAATAGTTTAACCATTGTGGCCGGGCAGAAGGTTAAACCGCGGAGCAAAACCGGAATTCATAAATGGCCGACAGGAAAAACGTATGTGATATCTGAATAAAAGAAAAGCTTGTCATTTGACAAAAATATTTAGTAGTATTTGAGTGATCTCTCGGTTTACCATTTGAAGGTTATTGCGAAGTATTTACATCACTGTAGGCATAGACTCTTTTCATGTATTCAGAACGAGGTTAACGAAGTTTAAACACGCAGTCACAATGGCATCTGCACGCCGTTTTTGACACTATCCGTGAATGTTTGAGCAATATAGTCTGCGAAAAGTGGATGTAATTTAAGCTAACAGTTATTTAATCATCAAAGTTTAACCACGTATGACATGTTTTAGGAGCGTATAAAGTGAGTCACAAATCTCACTGTGTCTTTTAGACTAATTTTATTTTTTTTTACTAATATAGCCATTTTGGATACCTCTATTAAATTGCAGGTTTTGATGAATTATTATTGGTTTGGAGACAGTCTGAAGGACGCCGTATCGAAACCACGCCTACACAGTCAGCTTTTTCCTAATATGGTATTAGTCGAACCAAATTTCCCTCAAGATATCATCAGGGGACTGAGGAGATATGGACACAAGCGCATCACGAATGATACCACATTATTTACCGGTAAATAATTCCTTTACCTGTCTTTTGCGTACTTTAGACTTTTTTTGTGCACTTACACTTTTGTGAGCCAATTTTACTTGATGAAACCTAAATAATGTTACTCTTACTATCAGCATGTTGTTGAGTACTTTTCACTTTTAAGGCTTTTCTGGTAGATTCCAGGTAGGATTTTTGCAATCACGTAATTTACTACACTATGCAAATAAAATAGCCAATATAGATTGAATATAACAAAAAGTGGTAAAGAAACTATGAAACCACGGGGCTTTTATAACATTAGGGTTCCCCACAAAAGAGACAAAAAGGGTAGGAATCAGACAAAAAAGCACTACGCGGTGGGTCTAAATCCGAATTTAAGCTCTGAAAGTTTAGTATTTTAAAGTAAGGAACTTTTTTTAGTCTACTTTACTTTTTTAAATTTGCATTCGCCTTACGTCATCCCAGATGATTCAATTTTTTACGTTGAACGGAGTGGTCTTATTACTTGGAGACGTTGTGTCTCTGAAGGAAAATTTCTATGAAGTCTCATTCTTTGCAGCTGCTTATAACTTGCTAAAAAAGTCATGATGAATTGAGCATAACAACCCAAACCATGGTTCGGTGTCCTTTGATAGAAAGGAGAAGTAGTTACGTCACGTTTCCATGGTAGCAAAATTTCTGGATGACAACAAACCGAAAATTCACTTAAAAAGTGAATTCGCACTGTTTAAAACTTAACCGATCTTACTCAGTCAGTTTCATTCAATTTGTCAAATGTTGGAGAAATTTTCTGGGGTTAAATGCGAAAGGACCGTATTTAAGTTTAGAAAAAGAAAACTAACATTTTTGTGTTGGGTTTACCTACTCCTTAAAGCAGGCGCGTGAAATTAGGAAGTTTCGTGTCGCAGTCGTGCAACGACGGCTAAGAAATGTACAAAAAAGCGTGCTGCACGTGTGATGCACGTGCAAAGTTGTTTTTTTGCCATCATAAACTTAATGCTAGCGCTTTTAACTATTCTCGTTGCCGTCGCCATCGTCGTTCACGCTTTAATTCCCTATTGTTGTGATCCAGAAATTTTGCTACCATGGTAACTTGACGTCACACTTCTCTCTATTGTAACTGTATTTTGGAAAACACTTAATATGATCTCTATCGCATTTAGGAACACCCCTACAAATAATGGGCGTTGTTCAGCTTGTTGTTCGAGAGGACAACGGAGAGCTACTGGCACTAGCTGACTATCGCAAAGGAGGAGTCGCGGCAGGTTACCGCTGACCGAACACAAATCTTAGTGGGTAGGTTGGGCTAAACACGTTGAACGATGATGGGACTTCAACTTAGACTGCAAAAAAGTCCGTATTTTTGCGTATTCAAGTACGCGCGAGCAGTCAAACAAAAGGTCTGGAACGTGGCTGAAAACAGAGAACGAGACTGGGTTTTTTTTCTCTCGCCTCACACGCCCTACGGAAACCCCTACGGGCGTGTGAGGCTCGTGCGCTTCGCGCGCGTAAGACTCTTACGCCACGCTTTACCGATTTCTTTAAAGATTTTGAGAAAAAAGCCGACTGTTTTGCAGTCTAACTTCAGCTAAACTTTGAGTGCAAAACCATACTTTTCCTCATAAAAAACTACTGCCTATGTGTATGTGGTTTTTGTTGTTGTTGTTGTTGTTGTTTAGTTTTCGTTATTTTCTTTCATTTAATTTTATTTTTTTTGAAGATTCTAATAACGGAGGTTTTAGAACAATGAGAATAAAAATTAGCGATAGCAATGAATGACGTTGACTCGTTTGACTCCATGCCATCATTTTCAAATTCGTGTAGTTCTTGATTCCGTGAGTTCATTATATATTGAGTGCGAAAGCTTAGTTGCATATGATTGAAAGAGAAAAATACAAAATGAAATGTAAAAGGTGCTAATTACCAGGTAAATAGTTTTGCTTTGATAAAGTCAGATTGGGTTTTTAGTTTAGGTTTCTTTTCTTTGATAGAGAGCATTTCGTAATTATACATTTATGAATTAAGCAATCCACATGACGTCCATGATGTTCCATTATTTACGGCAGGACAAATTTGGTAACTGAGAAAATGAGCTTTCGAGGAGTCTTTTCCCTCCAGTGTGTTGTGCTCAGAAATGTTTTTATTTAACATTTTTGAAAGGTCTTGGCCAGAATAAAAACGTCCATTCAAGGCAGAAGCGAGATTCATCCTTTGATTCACAAATAAAACGTCTGATCAGAGAAGAGTTTCGTCTGCTGCAAAACAGCTTCTGTGCTAAAAACGAAACGCTTTGCCGCTCAGGACCGAAAGGTAATGCAGGAAAACGGGGAAGACCTGGAACCCGTGGGAGACGAGGTCCCCCAGGGAAACCTGGGTCAGAAGGACCACCAGGACCTGTAGGTATTTGTTCGAGAGGACAACGGAGAGCTACTGGCACTAGCTGACTATCGCAAAGGAGGAGTCGCGGCAGGTTACCGCTGACCGAACACAAATCTTAGTGGGTAGGTAGGGTTACCATGGTTACAGAACAATATGATCGTATAAAGATTCTCTTTGTCAATTATACGAAATTCCGGCCGAAGAAATGTTACTATTGTACTTGAATCGCCATGGAGTAGCATTGACAGACATTTTTCACGAGTGAAAAATTTAAGAGGGTCACAACACAAGCTGAAGATTAACAAAGAAACGTTTAGCTTTTTGAAAGTTGACAGTGTAAACTTTCAAGCTATTTGAAAAACTCCAACAGAAGAGAACAGCGTTCTGTTCCTGCTATTATTTTCGCCTCATAAACTTCTTCTGGCATAACTTCAAAACGATTGTTTATAACCATCTCCAACAAAAGACATCATAATCACTCATGTCTTAAATGACACTCACATCATTGTTTTTCTTTTATCCACAGATCTTTTATATTCCAGTAAAGCTTTTGAAAAGAAGACAAACAAAAAGAACCCTCCCTTTTGGAAGGAGATTCACCGTAATTCAAAGAACCATGGTTCTACTTGTTGTTCATGATTTTTCCATGTTATTTTGGGCAGACGAAATAAACGCTGAAATGACTAAGGGAATACACTGTTACAACGGCGGAAAGTGTTCACTTATTTCTTAGAAAAGATATCTGGCCTTTGTATTGTTAAACATCTGACCGTCCAAACGCGCAAATAAAGGGAAAACCTAGCCCATTATCAAACTGAGATAATATCTTGTTATACTTTTACTATTTTTAGACAGTGCCGATTAAAAACTATTTTGATTTATTTTCGGTCATTAATTTTGGTGTATTCATATCGTTTAACCCTGACCCTTGATGTATCCGTTTCGGGACTTCAAAGGGATTATTTCGTCTCGTTCATCCATTTAGCAACATGAAAAGAATCCTGTTTCCTTATTGGTCGCCCTGACGGGCAATTAAGATGCATAGGCCTTTCATATTCCGATCCACTCGGCTCCCCCACAAAGGAAAAAAATACTTCCACGGAAGCCAGCTAAGTTATTTGTTTAACTCTTTGCTGCGGAAAGAGGAAGATTTCCTGCACTGTCTTCAGCAACAGAGCCCCAAGTAGAACATGTACTCAGTACTGAGCGTCTGTAAATCTTGAAGGCAGTAGAGACAATAAAAATTAAGACGAGTTTCGCAAATCTGAATTCGATTACAATGAAAACTGGAATTGTAAATGGTTGCCATATAATAAAACCTTCATTGACCAGGATTTATTATTGTCTGGGCCAATATACATAAATAAGCGCAATGACAAAACAATGGAACAATATTCCAAATGAATTGCGTTTAAGAGCTGGAGGTCTAGAATTTAACAAACAAGTGAGGAACATTCAATTTTAGTTATCTAATTTTGTAATTTTAGATGCTAGATATTTTATATTTTTACATTTCTATGTACATATTTCTTTCTTTCTTTTTTAATACTGATTTGTGGAAAACCTGCAAAATAGCTTTAGCTAAGTGTTTCTCCCACGTTAAATAAAGATTATGTTATGTTATGT